TACGGCTTCTGATTTCTACGTAATCGTTGCAGTCCGCAACGAACCCACCTTCTTACCCTCTATTGTCCAGTTTATCATTGGTGGCTTGAAATCATCGACTCTGGCTGGCTCCTTGATGTTTGTAATCTCATAGTACCATAGCTTCAAAAAAATCAACATTCAAACAATGAAGTATCACAAAAATTAGATACAAATATCACATGTAAATGGCAATAATCACATATAAGAAAGTAATATCACATATTAGCTACAAATATCACATAGCAGGGATAAATGTCACATATGGGGCACAAACGTCACATATCATATATCACATGTAGAAGATGCTTATCACATAAACACATATTAACTATAAATATCACAATTAAACAATGCATAGCAAGGACAAATATCACATATGGGGCACAAATGTCATATATTAGTGTGATATATCACATTTAAATGGCAATAATCACATATAACATGATAATATCACATATAAAGTACAAATAAATATCAAACTTAAACAATACATATCAGGGGGAAACGTCACATATGGGGCACAAACGTCACATATAAGTGACGTATATCACATGTAAAAGACAATAATCACATAAAAGGGGATAATATTGCATATTAACTATAAATATCACAATTAAACAATGCATAGTAGGGACAATTACCACATATGGGGCACAAACGTCATATATTAGTGTGATATATCACATGTAAATGGTAATGATCACAGATAACGTGCAAATGCAACATATTACTTACAAATAATACAGATAACCCACCGATAGCAAGGGAGCGCAGCCGCTAAGATATGTCTGCCCCTTTTTTGCTATTTTCGCATCCTTGGAAGAGTCCCACAATTTCTTGTAGATGATCGTCGCCCATGAAAAATGAACAACCAAATCTATCCGAGCCATATATTTGAACATATACCGCGGTGCATTCATTCTAGCGGTTACAGTCCATATCATTGTGAGTTGATAGAGGATTTGAAGCATAACAAAATCTGAAACATCCATTTTTTTTTTACTGAACCAATTTATCCAATAAGGCCTCAATGTAGTCTCGGCCACTCTTGTATTGCGATTGTTGCTTGTTGTTGAAGTATGTGGTCCATATCCTATTCGCTGTATCGTGATTCCCTTCCGGTTTCTCCCATTCATCATTAAACCGGGTATGTTTAAGCACCCAATTTACACCAAACATGTAGGCTTGTTTAGTCCCTGTTTGGCCATCCTTGAAAAGAAAACTTTATCCTTGAAAAAAACTTTCACGTGGTAAATCTAGATGATCTAGCAGTAGCATGATCGTTGTTTTGTCGGATGGAATTGCTCCAAAACTAACATAATTTTTAAAATTGGAGGATCCATAAGCCTTCCAATGTTCGGCCCTCATTCGTAGAACAATTTCATCCATGAATTGACAATATCCACGTATATTGCAACAAATTCTGACATCACGCTTACTGTAAAACACAACACAAGAGATACTAAATCTACTTAGGGTTCTAATGCGAATAAATTCACAATGCCAAACAAATTAAATGAACAAATGTGAATAATTCAGTTGATACTTACATCTCAGGCTTTATTGTAGCTAATTCAGATGATTGAGATGATGAATTCGTCATCCTGTATTTTCAGCAGTGAGTGTCACTGCTCGGTGAAGAAGAGGGACTCCAGCGTACGACGAGCTTGCGGTCGGCGGGGGGTCCTTGTCGACGGATGATGAGCGGACGAGCGGACGACGACATAGTAGTCCGACGACGAGTGGTCGAGCAGACGACGAGAGGTCGAGCAGACGACGAGCGGACGAACGGGCGACGAGAGGACGAGCGGCAGAGTGAATACCAAGATTCGAGAGTCGATGAATTCAAAGGAGAGTCGCCGAAGACGAAGACGAAGACGACGAGCGGCGGCGGTCTTGAGAGGAAGAGGGTTTCTATATAAGGGCTGGGGGCGGTCTTCGACGAAGACGACGAAGATGAAGACAAAGTCGAAGAAAACGAAGACGAAGTCGACGAAGACGATTCAAAGGGTTGTCGGCGGCGGCGGTCTTGAGAGGAAGAGGGTTTCGAAACTGAGAAAATTGGTTGCAGACGATGAGGGTTTCGAAAATAGTGCTTAGAAAGGGATTGTTGGAATAGTATTTTTTTAGTTTTAAATTGGGAAGGGTAATTTGGGAATGCCTTGATTGGGTAGTGGGTCGGTCTGTACACTGTTTGGGGCTTAGTTGCACTTATTTTTCTATATAAGGGCTTGAGGATTATGGTTTTTGGGCTGGGGAGGAGGATGCATAGCCCAAGTTTTTTTAGTTCCTCCAAGCAATTTTCCCTAAAAACAAGCAAACAAATAAACCACAGTTTGAACTTAAACCTCGAAAATACGAATTACCCTAGAAAATTCCAAATGCATGCTAATGTTTTGAAAAGAGATGATAGCTTAAACTAAACCTAGGAGTGCTCAAAATTCATTCTCAACCTTTGGTGATCGTAATGAGTAGGGGTGCTAAACCGTATCCGGATCCGAGGAAATATATGTAACCGTATCCATTAGGATACAGATATGGTCACTCAAATCTATAATTGATAGGATATTGTTATGGATATGGTTTTGTAGTGAAATATACATATCCGAAGTATTCTAACACACATTAGTCATACTATTACGATAGTTTCGATTCTTAAATTATGGATTTGTGTTTAATTTTGATGATCAACATGTCTAATCTTAGCTTTTTTTGTTATAATGTAACATATTAACGATCTCTTTTGTATCACATGAACTATATTTTTCTTAATACTGTCTAGTTTTCTCATACCGTTTTGTATCCGCATGCATATCCGCTTATATATTCGTATCTATATCCATAGCCGTATCCGATTTTAACAAACATGGATATGAATTTTCCTTACCGAGATATATCCATATCCGTATCCGAGATGGGTAAGCGGATATGGATATGGTAAGCATCATATTCGAGACGTATCCGGACCGAATGCACCCCTAGTAATGAGCATACTGCCTGCAGAGCATATTCAGAGACACTATAATACCCGCGCTCGTTTAATCATCTGCAGGTTATAAATGGAGTTTATTAGAATCTCAACGAGTTTCCATAGTCTCAGTGACACGTGCCGTTCTCAATTAGAATCAATCTTGTCGCTAAAAGTAAGAGGAAAAACAATACATCCAAAATTAACAGAATAAATCAAGCTCCCCCAAAATAACAGGACGATACACAAGTTTAGATCCATATCAGAAGAGAAAAAGGGAAAAGAACTGTAGAAGAGTCAGATGAGTTTCCAAAGTCTCGGCAAAGGCTGTCATTATTAATCCTTAACAGTCTTGTTGATAGAAGACGAAATCACGAGAGAGAGAGAGAGTATTTTCATTGCTTCAAGCACGCTCATATCGAATGAATCAAGCTCCCCCAAAATAATACGATGATAAACAACATAGATCTCATAGAGACCAACACTACGATTTTGTATGATGAGAACAGATGAATTAAGTAAAAACTTGAAGCCTATAAAAAGTGTGCGAGTTTAGATCCATATGGAAAGGGGAAAAAAGCGGAAGACCGGTTAATAAGCAGAATCACTTCCACAGCTTTCGGAGGGACATATTCTTCTCCGTCTCCTTCTTCATAACCTTGGCCACAGCCATTTCAAAATCCTCTTGGGTCACATGAACTATAAAGCAAAGCGGAAATCAGGGCCGGAGCCAGGAATTTCAGTAATGGGGGTCCAAAAAGGAATTATCAAAAATAGGATGACATATAATTTCCCCCGGTGATTGATTAAGTATACAAACATAGTTACATAACAGGACTTTCAAAATAGAATTTTAAATTAGAATATAGTGCACAGTGCATACAGTAACATTCGTCTTCCCTTCATTTCTTAAAATTATTTTTTGATTTCAGATCGGATATCTGATTAGATTTTACTATCTAGATTCTTAGAATGGAGTTTATCTTAGATTTTAAATTGTAGTAGGATTAGATCATGATTTGGATTTTAAATCCTATTTTTCAATTTCTGGAGTTATAGTGGACGTATAATTGAGGGACCAAATCCTAAGAGCCCTTAGGATTTGAGGAACGAATCAGAAATTTCAAACAATTTGAGGGACTCATATGGACTGAAGGCTTGAGAGGCTAACATCTAAATAACCCAAAAAAATAAACAAAAATCCCAAGTTATAGAAGGCCCCTGACTTGATGTTTGCTCCTTTCCCTTTACAAAACACCATATATCATTGCAAAATACCAAGCCATTAAAAGACAAATAGCCCTACTCGAAAACAAATGCACTGTTCATCTCCTTCTTTCTTGGAGCCGAATACAGGCAATCCAAAGTTCACCTTCGCTTGGAGGCAGAAACAGAAGGGGGGCAAAAGGAATGGAGTTCCCGTTCATCCCCCTCACTAGAGAGCTTTGAGAAAGTGTGGGAGATGGAATTATGAGAAAATTATAAAACCAATTCCCTCTCGATTTTTTTGTATTTTTAAAGGAGGGGCCAAGGACCCTTTGGCCCCCATGTAGCTCCACCCCCAGCGAAAATTGTAAATTATTCGAACAACACAGAAAGTGAAACACGGCCAATGATTATCCTCTCTTCTCGAGTCCTTGACTCAACCCATGAAAACATGCCTTGCTAGAAGTAGTAAGTCGTGAACTTTTCAACAAATACTTTTAAGAAAAGATGGTCTGTATATGTAGATTGTAGGTTTAATTGCAGATAGACCCCATGTACGATCGCCGAATTACAGACAGACCCCTCTGTTGTTCTGTTGTTGCGAATAAACACCTGTACTATTGGCTATTGCCCAGTTGCGGATATAACCCCTGAGTGAAATTGTTTTATCTGTTTTACCCTCAGGAGGTCGTTTTGTCAAAAAACTAATAATAATAACTCTCTTTCTCTGAGGGTAAACGAGTAAAATAAGTTCAGTCAGGGGGTCTATCTGGAATAATAGAACGACAAGGGGTCTAACCGCAATTAGCCTACATTGTGTTCATGAATATTGGAAATGTACCTTGAGTTCCGCCCCAGAGGCACCATTCATTTTTTCTGCTATCTTCTTTAGATCAATTCCTCGCATCAAGTTCATCTTTCTTGAATGAATCTTCAAGATATCGAAACGGGACTGAACAGGAGAGGGATTGGTCAGTATCACCAAAGAAGTTCATGAAACAGCAGAGACAAAGTAAAAACTATAACATGGTAAATGAGATCGATACACAAATACATACATCTTCATTGGGGTTAGGGAACTCGATTTTTCTGTCAATACGACCAGGCCTGAGAAGGGCTTGATCCAAAATATCAATCCTATTTGTAGCCATCAAAACCTACAAAATAATTCAGCTTCAGTT